TTAATACAGAAAAAACTAAATATATTTGTTTCCATAAAACAGCCATATCACGTCCAACACCTAATACAAAATTAATAATTCACAAGTTTCCATGCAACATTAATAACAAAAATCAACAACACAATGATTGTAACTGCAACATATTAAAACAAACTGATAAAATTAAATATCTTGGGATAACGATTGATGAAAGACTTACATGGAGACATCACATCACAACATTAGCTGGAAGAATAAGAAAATTAATTATTGTGTTTAAAAATCTACGAGATATTGCTGACAAGACACTTCTACTTCGAACTTATGATGCACTCTGTCATAGTCTTATCAATTATTGTATTTGTTCATGGGGTGGCGCTGCAAAAACATACTTAATAGAAATGGAAAGGGCCCAGAGAGCTGTTCTAAAGGTTCTACACAAGCTGCCATACAGACATCCAACTACATCTCTTTATAGGCTCTCGAGAGTACTTACAGTTCGTAAAACGTTTATTTATCAATGTATAAAACGCTACCACCAATATACCATTCCTTTATTACCAGACTCGACCAAAAGAAATAAAAAGTATCCAATGCCTTTAGTTAAAAGTAGTGTTGCTAGGAGACAATATAATTACCTCGCACCTAAGTTATGCAATAAAATAGACAAGAAATCGATATTAAGAAAAACCAATACACGACAGGTAAACCAAATAATATTGAAATGGTTAAAAGAACTTGACTATAATGACTGCGAAAACCTTATTTCGCCAAACTTAATTTAATCATGTGAAGATGACATTTTGGATATTCATCATAACACAATAGTATTAGTACTATACCGTTGCATTACACCACACACACACACACACACACACACACACACACACACACACACACACACACACACACACACACACACACACACACACACACACACACACACACACACACACACACACACACACACACTCACACACACACACACACACACACCACTCACACACACACACACACACACACTCACACACACACACTCACACACACACACTCACACATACACACAAACACTCACACACACACAAACACACGCACACACATATCGTACCCATGCATGTCACACCTGATCATCTTTAATTCTAAATTGCATATTACAATAAACTTTTCATTAAATGTATACATTTGTATAACTGTACCCTTAAGTAGTAAGTTATAACATTATTATGTCATCCTTTTGTCGGGAGTGGAGGCCTGATGACCTTTAATACAGGTATTCTTCTGAATATCTAACTTAGGCATCAGTCTCACACCAGAATCTTAAGAACAACTGTGTTTGTAACTTACTAGTATGTAAAACATTTTGTGTGATGAGAAATAAATTTTTATTATTATATTATTCCTAGAAAATACATCATAATGTGCTATCGTATACATGTGTCATGTCATCTTAGTCGTCATTTTTATTATTAATATATGTTGTTTAAGAATGGTTATTTAAACGATATACTTATATATTTTCGCATTTGCACACTATATGATTAATTGTGATGAAAACATTATAATTTTATTTTTACAAATATGTTGTAACATATTTCTGGTAAATAAATAAATCTGAATCTGATATATAGTAGTAAAAAAACTGACCGCAGCTTCCAACAACAAAACCTGACTTTTAATTTTGTTATCTTCCTGTCGGCGCACGGACTGAAACGTTTTTCAAAGTCAATTATCGATAACGAAACTATCGTAAGTGTAACAACACCGAAGCCCTGTCGGTGGCTTAAAACAGGGATTAAGTTTTCATTTCCTATCTGACTCGTGGATGTTTTTCATTAAGAACAACACCAAAAAGGTTACTTTTGTTTTTTTATGAATTATTATGAAATCTTCGTGAGCTTGTGGTTTCTAACAAATAATTTTGTTTCTTTTGTATAAATTTTAACAAAACTTCATATTTATTGTACTTTGAGAGAATAATGGAGGAACTAGAGCTATGTAAGAGCAGAACTTGGACAGCTTTCCTAAGATGCGGTCATAGGATGCGTGACCAAAAATTTATTATATCGAGCTCTTCCATGCCAGGGAAGGCTCGTTAAGCGATTGGTCCCAGTTCAATCTGCATTCGCACTACCTACCAATCCGCAATGGGCAATCCTGGTGGGTCAATGACCCAGTTTCACTTTTCGATTCCATCTATAGGGAAGACCGGCTCCGGCAGTGATGGGGTCATTAATAGGCTGATGATAAAGATAATTTTGAAGGTATTATAACATCGTGGTGGCATTCGTTGACTGTCAAGAGGTGTCACCAGTGATACCTAATATTTTTTTATGAACAAAGACGTTCATCATTATCAATACCCATTGCTGGGACCCATGCCTTCGCTATGGCTTAATCTTAAAGAGGAGAAGAGCTATAACCACGCAGGCCAATACAGAATACAGACGTATATTTACATTTCATATTACATATGAAACAGAATAACAGTCAAACGTCCATTAACATTGTCATTAGTTTAAAGCGACATTACCCATACTAACATGACATTTATTAGCGGTTAAAGGCATCATCAAACCTTAATGGACGTTTGTGCAACTGACCATTTGGTTAAAAATAAATTAAAATTATTTAGTTAAGAGATTGGCACAACAGATTTCTGGCATTTCCAGACACTAACCAACAGGTTTACGAATAAAAGAATAACATCTCCTTTCATTATTACACCGAGATAATATTTTTATTCTATTTCTAATTAAAAATACCGCAGAACTCACTCCTATTTAGGTAGTAATATTCGACCGTCCTTGCTGTTAATTCGAGAGCTCGTGACAAAAACGTGCGAGTTATATACTCGTACTTTAGTTGTTGATTTACTAAGGTTATAGAACTCGCAGTACCCATGGAAGGCAGGGGCTATAACATCTGGTATCATAATAGTAAAAAAATAACGGAAAACATGTCCTTAATATAAAATAAACTGTTTATACTGCATAACTATACATAGCACGTCTTTGAATTTGTCGCGAATATAAGAGATTGTACTCTTAAAACGAATTTTTCACTAACCTTACAACATTCCTTCTTTATGATATTAAAAATAAGTAAATTAAAGCAGGAAATACTAACAAACAGTCCATGATATATCAAATATTGATTTTTTGTTTGATCGATTTGAAAGAGTACAGGGCCTTCTCCGAAAAAGAGTTTCAAAACAATTGAACATTTATTAATTACTTCAAGTAATTTTAGAACAAAATACTAATATTTGCATTCAACAAGCATGTTCAGAAATTGCTAGAACTGCGTTTTTGACACGAGCTCTCAGTCTATATTCGCCGACCCCGATTGTCGTGATCCCGTGTTATAAAATTACATTTTTACTCTGTAGCCGAGATGAAAAATGAAATTCGGGTGATTCACAAAATGAACAGTGTGTGTTTTATCTCCAAATTATAAGGTTCCCAGTTTTAGAGACTAATAAAATGATAATTTATTTTTTTCCTCGAAAAGGCAGCATGGTTTTTTGAATTAATCCGTTCAGTACGAGTTTTGTTACGATTAAAGATAATACATATGTCGATAATATTGTGGCTTTGTTAAAATATTGGTCGTCGACAGATAGTGCCGATACTTTCGATATTTGTAGTTATCGATAATATTACCTGTTTATTTACAACTAATATTATGAGGTAAATTTTACATTTTGTTTGTTTGTAGGAGAGCTTGGAAATTTTGTAGGGCACCTCGGAAATACTGATCAGATCATGAAAATTATTTCACTTATGGGAAGCTACATTATATGTATGTATGTCAAAGTCGAAATAATCTTTATTCAAATAAATTTATTAGTATTTTGGAATCGTCCAATATTTTTTTGTTCTATTAAGAACGTCGTTAGACTGATAAAAAGAAAAAATAAAAGAAACTCACAACAAAAGACAATTAGTTCACTGAAAATGAATTTTCGTTCATTTTCGAAATGCTAATACGATACTCCAAAGACTCATTTGTCGATATTACAATTAGAATAACCCTATCTAATATTTCTATTATTCACGCACGCTGGTTTCAAAGTTTCGCCATATCCGGCGACTCCGGGTCGGGTCAATGTAGAAAATTGACTTGTTGTCTCGGGTCTGGGTATTGTGGTAACGATTTAGCTTTCTCATCTTGGAATCTGAGCAACGTATGTGTTATGATCTAATATTAAAAATTATAAATAACTTAAATATTTCAGCAATAATAGATCAAAAATTTTTAATTCAAAAGCTTTATATTTCCAAGAAAATCATGGCTGTCGTAAATGATCATTAGAAAACCAGGATCTTTTATCGGGAGCCTCAGGGGCTCCAAGATAAAGATAGAATTACCAGTAACTAAGGGAGTGGAACCGACCATAAAATATTTTTGTGACTTCCCCCGGGTGACTAGAAATTTCATTAGAAAATCGATGTTTTAAAATCAAGAATTTGCCGTTCTATTTTATCTTTTGAATTCCAAATCGGTAGGGAATTCACTGTATTGAGTATTTGGGCAAACGTTTAGCAAATATTTTACTGCCATTTTAAATCTGTCATATATGATGAAAATCCAATTAATCGAACCGATGGTGCTGTACAATTTTATAAAATATTTATGAAATGGGACACATTTCACAGATACCGTATAAGTATATACCAAATCATTTTGACGCCTTCAACGTACGTTCGTCGCGGTACCCACGCGAGTAAAACGCAGAATGTAGACTTTTGTACACCTGAATAAGTAGCCTTTGCACGCCACGTTTTTTAAACGCTCCATTGCCGTGAGTTTGTAGTGATACAGTTGCTTATTTTTGACTCGATAACGCATGCAACTAGTCTGAAGAATAAAAGCACGCCGTCGACGGGCGTTTCTGAACCACACGTCGTTTTAATTGTAATTTTTTTTTATCTTTTTATATGTCCGTAGCAATGGCAGATTTCTCTGTATTTTTTTATAGATTGATGTTGATAGAAATATAAATGGAAATAAATATTTACCTCCGCATGTCTCTCTGAAGTCAGGACAACAGTCGCCAAGCTTCAAACAAGCGTGATCGCAGTAGCACGGCTTGTCCGTCAAGTCTTCTATGATGGCATTCTGATGAGCCTTCTGTACAACACAGGAACTGTCACGTCCCGGACAACATAGGTTCGAGTCCCGACAATAATTCGCGCCACAATGTCCCGCCAAACAAACTGCACTCGCGAAACACAACCAGTAACGAAGCATTTTTCAATTTCTAATTTATTAAGTGCAAAATTATCAAAGGCTAAAGTTCAGTGCTGGAATTAAAGAAAAAACGAAAGCCTTTTCGGGCTGCACTTAAAAATATCCGCAGCTATTAAATAAAAAAATAGGCTTTTGTTACAATTTTAAAAAAGAAAACTTAATGCAGCTGTATGTGAGCAAAGGCCAGTGCAGCGTCGTTTCCGAGTTTAAATTTTAAAATAAGAAAACTGAGATAACGGTTCGTAATTGGAATCAAATTTCAGCGCAGCGTTATTCCAAATTTGAATGTCAATCTGTAACAAAAGAAAAAGGTAATTAGGCATAATATTTTCATTTTGTTCAAAAGATCATATGCCTAAAGTCTTATGTAATGTTATCTTATATCCTCATACAAATATACGTGTAGAGCGAACATTCGAACATTCCAATTCATTCACCAACAATATTGATGATTTAGACACACTTTATTCGGTGCACACAATCATAGACTCAACAGTGACACAGTTTCGGAAAACTGACCAAAAATTCGACAGAATATAATAGTAATAAAATATAACTAACCATAATAATTAACCATTTTTTATGTGTAGGTTTTGAGGCGGAATAATTAAACGACAGGAACACGTTGTAATAATATTAAATTATATGAAGCTATTTCACTTAGGTAGATAACTAATTTTGATTGACGTTGCCATCTTTGATTATACGTATAATCAAAGATTTTTCAATAAATTCGTTAAACATTTGCTAACTTCGACTGTCAAGTGACTACTTTATTATTCTAGTTTGGTTTTTTTTTAATAATAGTCAACAGAAAACTTAAATATACCAAATATAAAAAGTGTAAAATATTATGATAAACATTTATTAACGCTATCAATTAACAACCGAAAAATACTAATATGTTCACTAGCTTAGGACCCACCTTTTTTGTGAAGTAAAGCTTAGCTAAAACAACTTACTACTTATGATTTTATAAATTCATTCATCTACGGGAAACAACGAAAACCTACATAATACGCGAGTGACAAATAGCGAAGTAGCGATAAAACAGCTAGTGTGTTAATGTAAAACTGTTGAATAACTGAAATAAAATGAAAATTTTAAAATAAAAATAAATTTATAAAAAAATTGTAAAAATTTAACGTTAACCGGTTTGCCTCCTGTGAGGTTTGAACTCACGACCCCTGGTTTACGAGACCAGTGCTCTACCACTGAGCTAAAGAGGCTTTAATGGGACCGACAAAAATCAGATACAGTTTGTTTGTAACTTATCATCACACAGAAATTAAAGAACACTAGCGTTGTGTCCGCATATTTTTTTGATAAAAATTTCACCAATAGCAAAATACCTACAAATTATATTAATAATACACAATTATAAAAAGGTACGAAAGTATGTTTGTTATAATTTTACTAAGTAAGATTAGTGAGAATTGACCGGTTAATATGGGTTTCGGAAAAGATAAGGACTAACCGGTTAGTATTGTAAAATATAAACATGATAAATATTTTCTTTATAAGAAGAACTTGTCATTTCTCCCTTGGCGACGTGGAAGATAATATTTTACTTATATTAAAAAAACACATTAGCATAATCGAATCGGCTCTCACAGACCGATGACTTTGCTACGTTTACTTTTTAACTTCATAAATTATATAAATAAACATTAAAATACACAACATACATTGCTCAGATCCTTCATTAATTTCAAAAAGTAGCATCACCTCAATCTTGAATTGGTAATAATGTTTCGTGGCATAAGTGAAGTGGGTTTCGAAATAACAAAGGAATAGAATATTGAAGACACGTGTAATTAACCAAATTGTTTTGTACTTTTATACAAAAAAAAAAATGGAATCAAGAGCGTTTCTTCACAAAATTAAGTGAATTCAGACTCATGAGTGAATTCGTATTCGGGTCTGGATTTTTACAGAATTGTAGGGCTGATGCCACGCTGCAAAATGAAGCTCAACACTTATAATATTTATGAAAGTACTGACTAAGTATTTAGCTTTCCACTAGCAGCTGCGACCGCGAGGTTTGCTTGATTTGACAGTACATTTAACCCTAGATCTAGTGGGACAAATTAGCCTTCATATTATTCGTATGCAAATTTTTTTCGAAATCCATGTAGTTTTTGCGTGAAGAGTAACAGACATAGATATCGTCACAAACGTTTTAATATTAGTAGGATATGTTATTGGCAGATTACGTATAGTATTCATAATAATAACTACCTATTTCTTATCGGAAATCTGGCAACTGTCCAACAATAAAATATCTGAATTCCATCTATGGAGAAAAAATAATAATCATAATAAAAAATTTCCAGAACGTTCCCTTAGGAAAATTAGTCCAAATATCTCACGTTGAGTAAACGTAAGGAGCAAAACTTCGTTAATAATAAGGTGCTACAAATCGGATACAAGATCTTAAGTTCGTTCCGAGATGTGGCTTCGACGGGCCCCTTGAATTATTAATCAAAACATTAACAAGTTCCTTCAGTCAGGTGCGGCGTAATACATAAGCGGGCAGCGACTATTTTATTTAAAGATAATTCTTAGCAATCATACAATCTGTTGACAAATTCTATTCGCTGTAGACGAAAATATCATGTAAAATACATTTTATTCTTGTCAGTATTTAGAGTAAATAAAGAATTTAAATATACTAAGGCATAATATAATATAGGATAATTTAATTTGTCCTAAACATTACTCTTAGCAATTATATTTGAGCGTAACATCCGAAAGCCTAAAAAATACTTAAGTTTAGCGCTCGCCTGCTACTTAATGCCGCGGCACGAACGTTTCGATAGCTAAACTCGCTTTTTTAATAACAGTTCTAACCTAACCCTACCCAATTTTCAATGCTGCTCATACAAGAACATTATGCGAATAAAAAGTACGCAAAAAATTACCTATAAAATAATGACGCCAAAAATAGTCATGACCAAGAATTATAATGCGAAAAATATTTAGGTTTGCCAAAGTATATTAAATATAACAAACAACATTATCACTTCCTTTGTAAATTGCTACCAGTTATAACTTGAACCACATTAAAACCATAAAGACATTACACGCCATCTCTTATGAATTCAACTCCTTGTTAACCAACGGGGCGTGTTTAAATCTTAAAGTTGAAACACAATAACTGAAGTTCTACTATACGACGTAAAATCACAGTTCATTAAACATTAATAAATAACTTTACACTGTGTGAGATTATTATAGCGATCTAGTTTAAGCGTTGACTAAACTTCAGTCTTTGTTCTGAATTAATCGAGCATAACAGTTGACCATTAGGTGTTTTATAACCTGATTAGCTGTTTATGCTCATGAAATATAACTACACAAAAGTGAACGAATCTGTATTTCCGAAGATTATCTAGTATTTTTGTATTGTACTTTATTTTCGACCCTCCACTATAATATTAGAGGTCATAATCATAGTCTCTTACCTTCTTGCATATCCGTAAAAAAGGTAGGTAAGTGTCACATCACATCATATACATTGTTCAGATTTCCGAGCCAATAAAAAAAAGTCCATTTTCTACATTTACCCGAATGGAAATCGAACCCGGCGTCACATTAAAACCGGCGTCCGAAACACTCGGCTATGGAGATCGTGTCTACATAATAGTACAAGTATAAACGTGTGAATTTAAAAAAAAACATATATGTATAAACGTGAGAATATAAGGTAGCATACTGATGCTACCTTATATTCTCACGTTTAGCTGACTGCAGCTTATCATGTTCTCAACGCTTGCCCTGCCCTACCTGCCCTATAGATTGAATCAAATAGGGAGAAAGGGCCGTGATCTGTGACTTATCGATATCGTCGATCTATTAATTAAATTAATAAATTTTGTAGCCTTAAATAAATGAAAAAAAAATACCAGAGCCCAGAGCTTACTGATGGACGTTAACTGCAGATACAACCGCGACCATCGGCTTCACATGCTTTCTGAAACACGGAGGAACTCTGTATAATAAATTAATGGTCACCCATCCTATATCCGGCTCTTGCGGAAGTTGCTTTCGTAGTTCGAACGCACTTAACGAACACTAAGATAGCAATAAATTTAAAATAATAAATATAGTTTAACAAGTTTGAAACTGTTTTAGTTATATTGATTCCTCCCCTCTGCTACTGAATTTGTATCGAACAATTTCAAACTTATGCAGTAATTGAGGAATCCCAATCAATTCTATAGAGCAGCTAGCTACAGACATCTTAACAAGAAACAACTGGAAATCTATCTCAGAAAGTTTTCCGAGGCGACTCTCTGTTGCAATACAAGTAGAATCTAATTTAAACGCATTCTCCAGCTCATTTTATTACATTTTTCTTTTATTATTACAGCGAAGTTGCAGTTTTACAGATTGATTCTAGACCAACTGTTTTCCTTCGATGAAGGACTGGGTGCTGTTGTGATCGTTTAAAAAAATTAAAGCCCCATAGTCGATTTTTACGATTTTTATCTTATATTTAATCTCAAACAGTGATGTCTAGTAAACTCATTCTTGTTTAAGAATCAATTTGAATTGAATGTGTAAAGGATTTAATTTAGGTTAAGCGCCATCTATACAATTTCCACTCAAGGTTTCCAAAGCAACATTCAATTCAATTTCAATCGGAAAGCTCGCAACTAACTTACAAATTAACCAGTTCGCGTTAAGAGGAATTCTATTGAATAGAAATCCACATGATTTGTAAAGCACCATTAATTACATTTATAATTGGTATGCTTGATAAGAGACTAGTTTTACACTTAAAGCCATGTGAAGCTTTGTGCGGGCACACAATGGTTTTTCTTTTTCAGTTCTATGCTATTCTATTACAGACTTAAACTTCACGTTGAAGATAACGCCAGCACGTCGTAGAGCTTCAATTATATAAAATCTTTATTACCTATTCAAGTAGGTTTCATTTGATTTCACCTCTACAAAGTGACAGCACTGCGTTCTTCATCGAATTCTAAAGTCTAGACACTGCTGTTTTGCTATAAAAATTGTAACGGTACGTCGTACCTAGTCGTACCACACGGTTTATTTTGTCCTAGGTTCCCGTATCCATACTTTATGTCTCTGATCTTTAAGATCTTTTTTTCTTTATTATTCGCTTTTCTTCATTTAAATATTTTCAGAAACACATGTTCATTCTGAATGTGAGTTCATAAAATTTGATATAAATCCACGCGAAACATCTTATTTACTAAGAAAAACCCAGATACAGGGTATGTAATTAAGTGTATTATTAATATTTATCATAATTTACAAA